CGAGCACTTCCGGCAATAATGCAGATTTTTATCGGGCAACTTCGTCCCGGTGTCGTTTCCGGCAAACTTCGCGAATAGTCCTCCCGCATTCGGTTTTTCGAGTTTTCGAGAACGACTCTCCCCGGTTCAAATGCCATTCTAAACGCTATTCGGTCTCTCCACTCTGCCGTGTAATTAGCCGCGGTTCACTCGCGAGTATTTACGATCGCGTTTGTAAATCTGGTTCCTCGGCGAGCTATTTCTTCTTCTTCCCTTATTCATCGTGGCGCGATATTCCGTCGAGTCGAACTGGCGGAAGGGAAGATAAGGGGAGAACACGGATTCCGTGACGGTATTCTCCGGCGACCGCGTAAAATGAGTTTCACGGGAAAGTGACAACGTTGCGGCAGAGTTTGTCGGGTGAAATTCGTTTACGTCGATGTCGTCTCGGTACTCGCGTCACTGCGCCGAGTCTCTGTGCATTTTGGCGCGGAAACACGTATTGCATTTACGTCCGCGTTACAGCGACTTTATGCAAGTACGTGCTTTCGCAAACTGTTACGCGGTAATGTAGAAATTCCCCGCTTTACCTCCCCCCTCTCCCGCGCGACTACCGGTGGCCGAAAAATTGGGAAACGGCATCGAGAGTGTTTGAACGCGAAGAAGGGAAGGACGTTTTTCACCTGTATACTTTCAAACGACGATTAAACCTCGTTTTCCGTGCAGCGTGCAGATAACGAGATATCTCGTCTGAGCGTTGCTAATATCGTTAAAACCGACTCTCGAATCGAGTGTACCGGATGAAATTTCCGTCCCCGGCTTATGAACGAGAAACGTTGGCCGCGCGGTGCCATCCGCTTGGACTGTAACTTTCAAATAAGACCCATCAACTGAGCGTAAGCAACGGTGCAGGTACTAATTAATTATTAACTTTGATTCGCTGGCTTTGTTCACTGACAAACAGCCACCGCGGGAACTCGTTAATGCAGATCAAAAACTATTAGGCAAAGCAGTCTTGTATTGTCCGCGCGGACCACTTTTCCCCGCCCGGAATTTCAATTAAATTCTTTAGAAAACAATGATGTCGCGCAGCACCGTCAAGCGGTCATATTATATAATAAACCGAGTCTGCTTGCGACACTTCTGTTGATGGGTATAATTACAGCCACGCTAAACTCGGACCAGTATTTTCAGGTAACCGCCCTCTACTCCTCCTTTCCTCCGCACGCTGTTCAATCTGTCCTCTGTTCAGCCAAATTTTTGTTACCCTCCCCTTCTCTCTCCGGCTGCGTTTTAGTTGTACGCTAATTTCCCCCTATCCGAACCCATTTTTCCTCCGATCAATTTGCGTTAACGAGGTTATAAATTCCTGAGAAACTTCTCCCTCCGAATTCTAAACGCCCACGGGGAAAATGCAGTATACTCTCGTGCTGCTTTCTTTTTGTAAACCTGACTCGTGGCGGTTCGGATGAAAAGATATCGATACGTTTCCTCTGGTTTTTAGCTTTTTTCTCGCACAGGTAGTGGAAGGTTTTCGTGGCAGGATCAGAGGGTCTAGCGGTGTAATGCACTTTGCGGAAGAACGATGAAAGTCGATCCTTTCAGCTGGAGGAAATTTGGATGGCAAAGAGCAAGGAAGGAAGGAAGGAAGGAAGGAAGGAAGGGAGGAAGAAAGGATAGAAAGCTGGTGGAGGTATGAACGAAGAATCATTTCCAAGGCTGGGGAAATTCCGTATTTAGCGGATGCCTTCCACTCGGAAGCGAGACTGGTTAAAAAGAATAGGCCAAGCAGAATATCTTTCTGGTTCTTTATGCCCGGTCGTCGAGACGGAATACCGGGCCGGCGAAAAACGGGTCGTAAAGGTTTCGGTGCAGCTGGTTCGCATACATTACAGGCTTTTATTCCCCGGGAAAGTAAAATAGAGAACGGTCTAGGGAGAGTTGCGAAGGGTGGCTGGAACGGAGATCTGGTAACTCGGTTGAATCGAATCGCGGTATCTCGACGGAGAGAGTGCAACTGTTGAACGGCCAGCATCTAACTTGGAATACAAACCTAACTAGGTACGCAGTCGTGCAGGATCGTCACGATCGGACGAGAAACGTTCGGGTTTGCTAAACGAACAGGCGTACATTGAAAAACACAAACCGAGTAACGAGAGTAAACGCGCGACAAAGTAGGATACGAAAAACAGGGAAACTTGGCGACGGTGTCAAACGGTGAAAAGTTAAAGACAGATTCCACCAAGTACAAGCAAGCGAAAACTTTGCCTGTTAAATATTTCCCGCTTTCAAACAGCCCCTCTACCGGCTTGTTGCATAATTGCCGCGGAAAATGTGTATTTACCTGGTTCCTTTTCGCCAAATCGACTGTCTTTGCAAACAGAGCAGTTTACGCGTTACTTTGAACAACTACCGTAGAACTGCGGCTATATAAATATTGCCGTACAATAAACACGAACGATCCTACCTAAATACCGGTCGAAATTGAAAAGAGGTGAGCACCGGATTCGCGTACATGATGTGCCGGATGTGCGTGTATCGGAGAGAATAATTTTACAGCAACGATTGCTTTGATACGTTGGAAGCTTGTTAAAGGACAGAGGAATCACAGGGAACAGCGACGAGCCACGATTGCCCGTGTATCGGCACGTGGTGAAACGTTCTCGTGGAACAGAGAATGAAACTGAGCACCGAGTAATTCGCAAACAATCGTATGGCACTGCGTGCTTAGTACCTTTTAACCGCGTTACGCGACTTGGATTCGACGCACACGCCACCGGAACGTTGATTTTACACGGCCCCGTAAAGCGTCGCGTGTACACGAATCCGCTGTTTACCTTGGAGTTTACGACACGAGCCGAACACTATACACGCGGCTTAATTTTATAACGTTGTTTATGGACGAGTCAACTATCCCCGGTATTCGTTCCCCGAACAACGCGACGAATTTCGCTTTCGTTTTAATCGCACGTGATTTACGAATACGAGTTTGACAAAGGTCGAAGTAATTGCGACCGGACATGGTCGATAAATCTATCGCTTTCCTGCTTAATCTTGATTTGTCCGCGGATTGAAAAAAAAAAAGGGGGAGAACGAAAAAAGAGCGTGCTTGTACGCTCGCACGACGACAGGTTGGATGAGAAATGTTTCACGAGTACACGTCAAATCCATCGACAAACGAGATGTTGGCCGTTCGCCAGAATTGCTTGCCGTTCGAACGTTCCCGCCTCGTTCGCTGTTTACCAACTGACCGATTTACAGGATAAAGAAGATCGGGGGCCATTTACGGTTTCGTGGTTTCCTGCTACCTATGAAATTTCCAGCTTATCGAGACGACGTTTCGTCGACCTGACTTTTCTCCACGGACCAAATGAACCCGTCGAACGGACTCGAAGGAGAGAGAGAGAGAGAGGGGTTCTTCACTGGCGAGACAGCGTTCCGGAAACAGTTGCGTCTAAATGGAAATGGTCGGTCGCGCGATATTGGATCTTCTTCCCGATTCTTCATTTGCAAGAAAATCAACGAGTTTGTCTTTGCTTTGTTACCGGGCACGTCTCTGTTTTTCCTCTTGGTTCCTTTTTTCCTGGCTGGTCGTCGCCTCCGAGCCCGGTCGGCCCGTTCCAATTTTATCCTTTCAGCAACCGTGCCCCGAGCAAAGGGAAAAAGCGTACATTTCCGAGATTGGTTATAAAGAACAAACAGAAAGGAATCGATGTAATTGACGTAGAAATGGGAGCTGGTGTTCTCTTTCTCTCTCTCTTCCAAGGAGCTGGTCGTTTCCAACAGAGCAATTGTATTCGCGAAAATGGCAAAGATCACGGTACAGAGTGCATTATTCAGTTTGAAATCGAAAGCATTCCACGCTTCCTCTCTTTCATCTTCCCCCTATCGATCTCACTCCTACTTCTGCCCCGTTTTTCTTCCTTCCCGAGAGGAGAAGCGGTTGGTTTTAAAATCACGTCGAAGAGGGACCTCCT